CTAGATATTATATATTATAAAAAAGATAAGCATTTTAGCTTTAACATCAATGAATACCAGGATACCCCTCTATCGACACTTCAAGCATGTGAAAATTCCTGCTCAAGGAATGTTACTCTGTTGATTTTATGTAATCATTACTTTGTGTCTGATTATAACTTACCGTTACTTTGTTACTATTAAAAAACTGTTACTCTGTTACTGTTACTATGTTACTGTTATGTTACTTCTTCTTCCCAGATTCTACCATTGAAGTTGAGCAGACAGCACCGTTGTCGGTGAATAGTTCACGTTTACTGCTGAATGAAACTAAAATGAAAATTCTATATGTGTCATCAAATTTCAACGGGAAAGGTAAATCAAAGACTCTTTTTTCCTAACGTAAATTATTTGTCTGAAGATCAATATCCTATGAGCCATAGTTTTAATCAAAAGTGTTTTGAAGAGACAACCCTTTTGTTTTATATGAAAACTGACTGACAAAATGATAGATCTTCAATATTTCTACTGTGCATCATAAATTTTGATGTATTTCCTCTTTTAACACAAGAACCCACAATTATTTTGAGTCTATAAAGCACATCCTTTAATTTATAATCAATACTATTATTCTACATGTAATTTTTTGACATATATGAGTTCTTAAGACAGATGGAATGGCTCAAAGCAGATCGATGTGGACTAATATGGATGTGAGCCACAAAGCAATGCTTGTCTGTACAGTCCTCTTTGGAGCAATTTTGATCATCATCATCGGGTTTTACATCAAGATAACAGCCAAAAATCGTGCACGTGTCCAGTACTTTCAATGGACAAGAGAACTGGAAAAAGAAACACGCAATTCAAATGTTTTAATTTATGAATCTATATGACTGAAAATATCTGCGTGCAAAAAAGGACGATGATTTAACATATGTTTCTGTCTATGAGTTACAATTTTAATTTTAGTTTTGTGATGTTTAGTCTGCCAATTATTTATTTGTTCCTGAAAGGAGATAACACCCTCCTTCGAAAACAAACATAGAGGATTTTCAAGGATTTCTACAGTTACCCGAGTATCAGGGATTTTGTAAGCTATGAACCGCTTTGCCCCGGCTGGGAATCTGGACGATTATACATTGGTTTTGTAAATATGAAGCATAAATACATGTACTCACTGACACGATAAAGGATTTAAGATGAACTTAAAAATGAATGAAACAAGTGGCAATGCGATTAAGAGCTATGAAATAAAAACACAGGTTTTAAGAAAATCAAACGTTGATAGTTAAAGTATGTATTAATTATAAAGAATTATTCAGCATAATTATGCACTCAATTTTTAACTTCAAATATGTCTTTCTATAGGAAATCAATTTGAAATGTACTCACTGAGGATAAAATGTATAATGATGAAGTAATGAAAAACAGCGTAACTATATATAATTGTCAAATGCTTCATATGAAAACAAAAATAGGTCTGCTAATAACGAGGCGCACTTGGTACCCATGGGAATTCCAATAGATTGTTCGAAGACCTGGTCTCCAAAATCTACATAGATATTGTCAATCACAATCTCAAGCATCTTTTAAATATCAGCTTTAGAGTACTTGTGTGTACAATCACAATGTTTATTTCGCAAATGACCAATGACAAGGTAAGTAAATTTACGAGTTCCATTCTTATTGAAAAAGCAGCTGCCAATGATATCAAAAAACCTGGACTTTAATTTATCGTGGGGAATGGTTGTATATAAAGTTGTAATTGTAAATGTAAAGATGTAATTTAGTAGTCAGTGTCTAAGATTTTATCTAAAATTTTATAAAACATTCTCAGTCTATTTTTTGCGCAGATGCAGAAAAATTACCCTTGGAGCCGGTATTTTGACTTCCTTTGCAGGAAATCTGCAAAACTTTCCTCATTGCAATTTTAACATAAAAGTAAACATTGACTGTCTTTCCTTTGGGTGTATGTACATGTTTTACTGGACATCTTGAAAAAAAGAAAACTAATAAAACATGTTTGGGGTCCTTACTTCTATTTGCACTATTAGAACGACAGATTTCTCTCTGATTCCACATTTTATGATTGATCTTCCTTTTCGGCTTTAAAAAGTACATCCATATTTCGTCATTCATCAATCAAGTTTATCAAATCTTCTTTTGATTGATTGACTTTATGTTGTTTTACGTCCGATTCGAGAATTTTTCACTCATATAGAGACGTCACCATATACTGGTGAAGGGCTTCAAATTTTGACCTTTACTCGGCACTATATGCCATTGAGCAGTGAGGGATTTTTATAGTGCCAGCGTCTGACGTGACACGGGGCCTCGGTTTTTAAGGTCTCATCCGAAGGACCCGCAACTTTCACTTCTAAGTGCCGCGCGCATGTCGAAGGAACAGTTGCTACCCATTTTTTATCGACTTAGGTCAGTCGCGGCCGAGATTCGAACTCACAACCTCCCGATCACGGAGCGAGCGCTCTACCGACTGAGCTACCGTGATCGGTCAAATCTTCTTTTGCAAAAAATATTTTTTTTTTATAAATAGACTATTGGAAGATTTAATGCGAGTTCTTTCTTAAGAATTTTAAGGAAATAAGGCACCTATCTGATATAAATATATTATTATAACGATTTCCTTTGTCAGAACTCTATAAACTAATGTGATGAAGAAATGTTTAGTGTCCTAACTAATGTGTATCAATGTAAATAAGACATTTTCAAATATCATGTTCCTCACAGCATCGTTATTTTTTGGCGTCCCTGCAGATTTCAATTGACGAGTTTTCCTGTTTATCTATTTGCTAAAGCAGTAAAATTTGTATATTTAGTGGTACCTCATGCCTTTTTAGTGGATTAATCATGTAACTCTTCCAGGATAAATACTTGATTTTAAGGCGTCTAATCGTTAAAAAAAAAAAAAAAAAAAAAAAAAAAAAAAAAAAAAAAAAAAACAAACAAACAAACAAACAAACAAACAAACAAATTAAAAAAAACTCGAAAATCGGAAAATCTGAATTACATTTTTAAGCTCCTTTTCTACATTTTGAAGGATTTTGCATGAGGAACGATGTCTGTAAATGTAAACTTGCAAATATTTTTAGGTTAAAAGGAAGTAAAATATTTAGAAAAATAGAGATGAGATGGAATTACATCATGAACGAAGTGTTACAGTTTCGTTTAATTTCCATTTATTTTCGATAGGGAAACATACATACTTACAAATGGATGTATTTCCTATACTTAACTATGTTCTCAAAAACAATTTACATTTAACAGGCATTGCAATGTGGAAGTGATATTCCTTCCGCCTATATCAAATACCAATAGAATTTCCAAGTAAATACGTAAATGTCAATAATTTCAAAACATGTGAAAATTAAAAAAAATATCATATTTAGAAATTATTTCTTTTAAACAGTGAAGAAACAGTCTGTAAAAGAATGAGGATTTACACATGTTGTGCCAATGGAGATTATTTTATTTTCCTTTTTGTTATCTTTTGCATATATATTCCCAAGACGCTTGCACAGGATTTCTTATGTGGATCGTACATGTAAGACATGACCATTATTTACATTTGTACATTAAAGTATTTATTGGCTATAATACAAAGAAATTACGAAACATTTATTTAATTATTTGGCGAATTTCTATTTGTTGCAGTAGTACTAGTTTTCCAAATTTATGTTGTGATGGTTATGAATGGGACAACAATTCGGAACGTTGTGAGAGTAAGTTTAAGGCTTCCCCAGCCTAATGTGAGTAAGGTTTTGAAAAAATCTTTGTAATGCTAGTTAAACTTCACGGAAATATACATTATACATGTATCTTTGGTGGAATATTTTTAGTAGTTGCGTTAAAAATGGATTTGTAAATGAACTTCAAACAATATTTTCTATAGTTCATTTTATTCCTTTCAATATATGCAAAGGAAGATATTTTATTATTTATGTGTTTTTTTTTCATTTGAATATGATGTCAATATATATTTTTTTATATAATGGTTTTCCTAGCATCCATAGTTTACATATATTTAAAAGTAGCAATTATTCTAAACTTCGCATATTACATGTAAAACCATGTCAAGCTCGCAATGGATACATTTTGTTTAGATGTAATAATATTAATTTTAACATTATTAAGATGCAGTCAATTGTTTTTGTACTCTGAACCCATGGGGACTAGTACTCTTAATTATATTTCTATGCAAGTGTACGTATTTTAAGTAATTCATATGTATTTCAAAGAGTCATGCATATGAACTAATTACGACAACTAATGCGAATAAATGAAAAAATACCTGATACTAAAGAACTTTACCTATCACTAATTGTTTAGAGTGTGTTTACCCATATTATGGGAAAATGTGTGAATCTACCTGCGACTGCTCAGATGATAAATGCAACCATATTTATGGATGTCCAACCTTAGGTAAATATTCAATATTTCATTAAGAGTTAAGATGAGCAAATAAGGTACCTTTATCTAACAATTGCACTATATAAAATCCCCGTATTCAAAATCATATGTTGTATGCATGTTACTATACAACTTAAATTTAATGTTCATAAGTGTTTATATCATTTTGAATAGTTCCATACTTTTGACATATTTACATACATTTGGATTCCTACAACTAGGAGTTGAGTGTACAAATGTTAAACCGCTTAAGGTAGTTTTTCAGCGAGAAGCAAATTTAGTGATTTGTCCTTAAAAACAGAATTTGGTTTTAGTGAGAAGTTATTTTAGCTATCTTATGATGTCTAAAAGATAACGATAGCCTCCGATACAGAAAAAAATTGCGATATTCATTTAAGCCATCTCAACATCCTCACTTAATATGCAAAAATTGAGTCCTCGCTAAAAATTTTCCTTATAAGGTACTTTTTGTTTATTAATCTAAAAAAATCACGAAAAAGGTCTTCACTGTGACACTCCTCCTACATGTTAGTGTAATAAAGCCTGTTTCATTGACAATTGAGGCATCAACCTGAAAACAAAATGAAAAGACAATGATAGAAAAATTATTTATGTTTTCCATAGCATGTCCACCTGGGTACTTTGGTTCATACTGTGAGCTTCCCTGTCGGTATCCAAACTACGGAAAAGGTTGTCAAATGGAGTGCAAATGTGATAAAAGACTTTGTGATCATACAACAGGATGTAGGAATCTAGGTAGTGTAACCTTGAATTTGATTTGATTTATCATTTTTCTTAATAATAGGCTTTTATGGTTTTATAGTTGTAGTAGGGAGCTTTTGATATATCATGGCTTAACAAGATATACATCCGTATATCAAATTATTTAACAATCAATTTAAAATGTCAAGGTAATTCTTTGACTATATATTATTAGGAACTTACATATGAGAACATTAACATCGTGCGTACTACTTGCTTTTTTTCTTTCCTCATATTTTACAGATGAAGTTAATACAACATCTGACAATGTGGAAAATTCCTCTCTAGTGCAGAAAGAAACCAAGATAAAAATTATGTACAATTCATCACTTATTACCCATTTGTCATGGATAGAAAAAAGTAATGCATATATGTGATTCCATGTTCAAGGAGAATAATTTCCATTTGCTTCACCTTGTCTAGTTAGAATTTAAAAAAGAAGTAATCTTTATTTAAAGAATAAAATCAACATTTAGAATACATAATACAATGTTCTTGTGTGTTACGAAAAAGCAATGCAATGCCAGCGGGTTTCTGTGTTTAGAAACTTAAGTTTTGACCTCGCAGTCTTGCATATACTTGTATGTATTTTGTGTTGTGATAGATGCACTCCAGCATACGCTGCACAGTTAAGGCCACAAACAGGGGGTGGAACCTAATTTTTACGGGAAATATTAACTATGAAATGATACCAAACTTACAGTTCTTAAAAATACCACAAGATGAAATGATCTGCGAATATAAACAATAGAGGAGCATTAAACTACATCAAAACTTTCTATAAAATGTTGTTTTGTCGTTAGTTAAGTCCCACATAGCAAGGTACATGTAACAGGTAAATGATCGCAACGCACTTGATGATGTGACGTCATTCTGTAAAATGAACTTTCAGTAAGAGGCCGATCATATAATATAATATTTTCATAACTAAAGCGTACTTTATGATTAAATAAAATATTATTTGTAGATATTAAAGAGGCCATTGACTTGAATGCGATGTCTTTTTATGATTCTATTCATATATTTTCCGTACGTTACCTAGTTCACTGATAGTGCCGTATATTTGTATGCAGGTACATGTACATTGTAGGGTAATATAAGGGTTTCAATAAATCAATCTAGTGCAAGGACATAGCCTCAATGGATCATAGTGAGCTTTTATATATAAACTCTGAAAGTATTGAGGTATTTGAAAAGTGCTGCGGTCCTGGTGAAATCTTGAAATGAAGTAATTATTTCTATGTATAATGCAGTTGACAAGCAAAAATTCAGCATGCCGTCTTACAAATATGATTTCAAAAATGAAATATAAAATCTATAAGGGATCGCAACACTTTTACAGGTGTTTATAGGTGTTGAAAATTTTCATAAGCTAAACTTAAAATTTTAGCTTGCACTATTAAAACTTATAGGTGACCTGTATGTATATTTGCAAACTCACGTGACAGCACATCACGTGACAAGTCTTAATAGATAATCAAATCTTACTCAATATGTACTTACTAACCATATTACATTAGTCCGATACTAGTAAAGTACAAAAAAAGAATCGCCATCCTGATTAGGAATGTATTTTTTATTACAAAAATCGCCGATATTTCTATTGCGCACCTTAACTGTACTGCGTAAAGTCAAAATATATGTAATAGGAATATGGAACACAAGATGAAACTCTGCCATTCAGTTAACTGAATGGTTACTGAAAGGTCTGGAAAGTGACTGAATGGTAGAGCTATGACATTCAGTCACCTTTCAGTAACCTTACAGATAACTGAATGGCAGTTTCATCCTGTGGAATGGCTTGATTAGTACAATCACATATTAATATTTGTTTTCCAGGCACGTCTTGTGTATACTTGTAATAAGTATCTTTTGAATTTTAGATTCTTACAATAACTAATAATTCTTATACAACGGAAATCATATAGTAATGTCCTAAAATATATTTATTTGCAGAAACTTCTTCAATGTGGACAGACATGGATATAAAGCACAAATCAATGTTTGTCAGTATCATTGTCTTCGCGGCAGTTTTCCTTGCCATCATTTGTATTTACATAAGGAAGTCTGCAAATAATCGAGCAAGTGTGCACTATTACCAATGCAAGAAAGCACTGAGTGAAGAACCAAAGGATTCAAATAAAACTAAAGATATGTGAACGGATAAACAATCAAATTTGTATATGCAACTGGCTAATGAATTTGTTATTTTTGTATACATAAAGTTTGTATAAACAATGAAATGTTATCTCAATCAATCAATAATAAAAAATAAATTTGATCCATGGGTTTATGAATTTGCTGGATGTTCGTCCATCAGAAGTATGATGGAAGTGGTCTTTCTATATATCTCCTTATCTCTTTTTCAGTTTAAAACATATAAACTTTGTGTCAAGTTTGAGGAAACAATATTGATACCCCACGATCGATGATAGTCTATCAAAAGGAGGTATATTTCAATTAATCAAGATCATTTTCAAAATCTCGAAGTCACAGATTGTTCATATTTATCAATTATGTTGGTCCTTAGCATTGTAGGAAAAAGTTGAAAGCCCCTTATGCCCTGAAATTAATTCAAAGTCATGGAATTTGAACGACGGCAAGGTCACATAAACTGTACTTGTTTCAGAGGTAGCTCACTATCACATTTTCCTGAGCTTGATTGTAGGTTAACGCATGAATGTTCCAGAGATTGCAAAAGATAAATAATTGTAAAATTAATTCATGTTAAAAGAACATTAAAAAACTTTATTTATAACAAGGCTGTTTACCATCATAATATATATGTCATGTCGTAGATGAAACAGTCACTTAAAAAGAGGTCAAGGTGACTAAAAGAACTAAATCTATACTTACACAGTTTTTTGTGTTTTATCATTTGCATGATCCACAGCCATTCACTCCATGACAGAAAATACTTTCATATGATGAGAATTTCCTAATGTTGTAAAGGAATACAAACAACAACAACAAAACAAACAAACAAACAAAAAAGACCGGATACATAATTATCAACCTGCATTAAAAATCCAACCTATGGGAATAAAATTCTATAGCTCAGTGCTCAGTATGTGTGTCTTGATACTGCCTAAATACCTGCCAAATATATAACTGGCATCTTAAAACAATAAAAAGATACCCAAAAATGTTGCTAAATAGGTCGGTAGTGCAATATCTTTTTCAGACTTTTTGAAAATTTCATATTCCTTGAAGATCTGTTCAATAATAAATGTTGTACCACGTAAGGAGTGCAACAGAAAAATTGTAATGATGCTAAAACATTTCTCTTCAAAATAATCTGTATCACAAGTAAATCAAAAAAAAAAAAAAAAAAAAAAAAAAAAAAAAAAAAAAAATTTTCAAAGTGTAAAACAATAACTGATACTCCATTTAAAGGATTAAAATGTCTTATGTATCACAAGCAGCATAAATAAGAGTCAAGTATTTGTGCATAACCAATTATGTCAGAAGTGCAACATTTGAGGTTTTACTTCCCAAAATGGACAAACCTTTATCAGTATATATATATATATATATATATATATATATATATATATATATATATATATATATATATATATATATATATATATATATATATATATATATATATATATATGCTTTCTTTTTGGAAAATAAAGACGCGAAAAAATATTTTTGTCAAATAAATCTATTATTCAGAGGATCTGTCTGTGTTTCAGAACCATTTTCCACGGTCATGAATGCAACGCATTTTTATTAAGATCCAAGTTTATTGATGAAATGACATTTATTCATAATAAGTATTATTTGATCAATAGCATCCATTTGAATAATTTAGTACTAAATTAATGACTGAATATATTTTGAAATCTGCCCCTTTTCCCATTTTATCAATCTAAATTTTTTTTCCTTCTTTTATATACATTTTTAAGAAATAATAATAAAAGAAAAAAAAAAAAACAAAAACAAAAAAAACAAAGAAAAATTGTAATAAAATTCAGATAATTCCATCGCGACTTTAGTGAAACAATAGAACATGTTCTGATATAATTTATGCTTCACAATTCCTCTTTAAAGTATCAAATGCTCTTTGTCAGGTGTACACAAAAGTGCTAGAATTATTAATCACCAAATATGTATGAATATAAATATTGATGAGTAGAATGTGTCTCGTTGACTTCAATTGCTAACAGTGTTTGTCCCATGAAGTTAAATGTCCTATAAAATCTTTTTCTTCTTCTTGCTATATTTTAAGCTATTTTTACGGCAATATTAGGGAATAATTTCTGATATAAAGCCAAATTCAAAATTTTTTATGCTTTTGAACTACGAAGTATTGGAATATAAATAATGCACAACTTTATTCTAACTTGTTGTTGTCAGAACTTTATGAGTTTTTGTGTTCTGTGGCTTTAATTTTAAATTTAAATGCAGTCAGCAGTGCAACAAAAGTGTTTTATAATTATCCATGAACTTCATCTCTCTTTACTACAAAATAAATTGTAGGAAACACTTGATAATATTTGTAGCTGAAGTCATTATGTCTATCAATAAATTACAAACATTTTTTTTGACATTTGTAGTCAATTCACAGAATAGTTTTCTTCACCTAAGATATATTTTCAACAAATATATATTATATAAGCAAATAAGCATATTTTTGACGTCAAGAAAATATGAAAACGTTTCCCGAAATGTGTAAAAATATCAACGACGAATTTTTTTATAAACTTTGAATGATATATTGTCTTTTAAGCGTTTTAATACGTTAACTAAAAAATACTAGGTGTCAGGAATGCAAGGTAAAATAGAAATATGCAAAACGAACTTTATTTTGAATTTATATGATATTAATTCATATCTGCATTTTATGGAAAACAACAATCTCCCTTGCAGAGTTGTGTTTATTCCTCTCTCAGACACCCCTGCCATTTGCTCAAGTCAAGATTTTTGACAGCAAGTCAAAAAAGGAGATAAGCCAAGGATTAATTAAAATGAAACTTAAGTTCTATATAGTAAATAGTAATAGATCTACATAGTAAATATCTATCTTAAAGGACAAAAATAAGAGCAAACATTTCATTATAATGAATTATACAAACACACCATTTTTCGTTATAAGAACTGTGATACACGCGAACCAATTATAGAGGTAAATGTATGAACCGATGGTAGACTGTGTGAAAACATATCATGATAGAATATTTCGTAATGACTTCCGGTTTGTTGAATTTCCTTTTTCCGGTTCTATGTATTTTAGGCGTAAAATATATGGACAAGATCGAATAAAAATCAAATAGAATTGTAACATCTGTTCATGTAGATGAAAACATAATACTTAGGATGAGAGTTTCAAATTTGCATTCTTTCCATGTTCTTTTTGCATTTATTGCAAGGGTTAAAAATGTGAAAGGTATAAGTATATATGCCGTCTTGTTTATATTTATTATTGATGATTGGATAAAATGCTTAAGATATCATATTTCATAAGTGGTTTTTTTTTTCAGTTTGTTTCTCTTTTTTAACGCTTCCCTTTCTTCCTGTTTTTAATTTCTATCATATTTTATCAGTGTTTTTTAGTTTTTTTTTTCTCTTTTTTTAACGCTTTCCCTGTTTTTAATTTCCTTTCATATATCTTCCGATTTATCCATGTGACAAACGCATTAATATTTTAAAAATCGATGTTCAATATCGATCATGTACATGTAGTAACTTGTCATTAATTTCTAGAACAGCTCATCTCGAGACTATTTATTATAGAGATAACATTATATTTAGTCCTATGAAATGCTGTGGTGCCTCTACTTGGGATAAAATTACCATGAGATGCATTGGTAATACAATAATTATACTTCATCTCTGCTGACAAACTCTTTACTTGAAGTGTAGTTTGGCGTCGATCAGCTAAGATTACATATTATTTTAGGTTGCTCCGATGGCTATATTGGTACATATTGTGAGTTAAAATGTCGATTTCCTAGTTATGGGACAGATTGCCAGAAATACTGTCGCTGCAGTGAAGAGAAGTGCAGTCATATTACCGGATGTCACGGTAACAAAAATAATAATTAAAAAATATACCTAGCCACAGCTAGATATCAGATGCTCTTCATACAAAAATAAAGACTGAAAATAATAATTTGTGGAACATTTAAGTATCGTATGAATGTATTAAGATTTTTTTCTTTCTGAATTGTATTTCTATCTACATTTTTAGCAAATATTATATATTTTGTTTTATATTCATTTTTTTATCCAGATACCATAGTTGAAACCATTGTCTTGCAGAGCACTCTTTCTATGTTCAATGATACAGATATGCCAAATAATGAAACCAAAATACGTTATATTTTTTATGATTTGGTGGATATATTTCAAAAAGGTAATTTAAAGCACTTCATACATTGGATTAGAAATATATCCTCTCTATCTTATTCCTCTATCGCAATAAGCAAAACTATATAATATTAAGTATGAACACCAGATGTTTTTAATGTGTGTGAATTTAACATTTAAATCCCGGCATAAATATTCTATGAAAATAAATTATTTTATTATATGATTGAATAATTCCCATCTCTCTGATTGGCTGAGATCCAACAATTTTAGAAAAATACTACCTTATATTGACCTGCACGTGACCTTTCAGGTCAATATAAGGAATTATTTATTCTACATTGGACCAAAAATAGATAGGGAAATTCCAAATTGATGCAAATAGTTTTGAAAGTTATTTTACTTGCACCTGACTTCCACTCATATGAACATAGATTCTTAGGTGAGGGGTGGGGTGAGGATGAGGGGGGGGGGGGGGGGTTGCAGGAGGCCTGCCCCTCTCCTCACCTTTTGAGAATGTAAAGTTTTAATTAAATTTTAAGGATAAAAATTTTTAATGAAAGCCCCCCATCCCTTGTTTATGGACCTTTACAGCCCACCAAATAAAATTTTGAGTTGAAAAAATTCTTTTCTTTTTTTTTTTTTGAAAGGGGGGGGGGGGGGGGCTAGTCAAAGAGTTGTTTTCAGGTAAGTTGTCATTTTTTCCTTTTAATGCCTCCTTTTTCAAAATCAATCCTATATATGAGCCTGACATTTATTTTTTCTACATTGCACCTAAACTAGAATTAAAAATTCCAAAATGATACAACTGTTTTTTAACCTCGTTTCCCTCATTATGTTCGGCTAGTACTTCAGTAGATGTGAACAAGTAAGATGGCATGGATTGCTTAATGTCAATCAATCATTGAATCATGTAGTAAAACACTTATTGTTTTTTTTTTTTTTTGGTCAATACGATGATATAGACACCTGAGGAGTACAATATTTATCTCGTCCTTCGGGCTCGGTGAACATTGTACTCCTCAGGTGTCTAAATCATCGTATTGACCTCAAAACCCAGCAATAATTGTATAATAATTTCTAATCACATATGGCATAAAGTTTTGCATTATATTTATATTAGATAATGAAACTGTTTTTCTTCTTCTCTAGACACAAAAAGTGAATCTTCAACTTGGACGTTATTGGATACAAAACACAAATCAATGCTTATCTGCATAATTATCCTAACGTTCTTATTTGTTACAATCCTGACAGTCAGCCTATTAAGGAAACATGTCTATGGATGTGTAGAAGTGCTTCTGTCCAGAAATAAACCTGTCAGAATTCGCAGAACAACCAGAAATGATTCGGTGGACACTACTTCTGTATAACGAGCATTGAGGATTCCATACTTTGGTTGACAAGTAAATGGACTTTCAGAAAAAGAGGACTGCTTTAACCCTAACTTGTAGATGAACACTAAATATGAGAAGCGTAGACTAAAAGTTTGAGCAACGATGACGATGTATGCGAGTATCAGTATGTTTACACTTTATTGATTGAATAAAGTTTAATTTATTCATGTTTACAAAAAAAAAGCTTTCGGCGGAAAAACTGGGGGGGGGGGGGTATAATACTATGTGCAAGCTAAACAAGGAAAATGTTTATTCAGTGCAGAATAAGTCAAGAATAATAACTAGTCCCTGTTAACTCAATTGATTTTATTAGCTTTTAGTTTGATTACTCTTCATTATCTTTACACTTCGTTATATCTTAAAAATAATGTCATTTGCATTAGATAATTTTTTTTTGAAGTCCCTTTTGCAATTCTCTAAAATTGAAAAATGACGAGAACAGAAGATGGAGAAGATATCTTGACAGGTTATCTTGACACGTGTATATGTGACTTTGACACTGTTCCTACACTTTGTACACGCTAAAGATGTAAATTCACCTTATCAAGTACGAGGATATGAATAATGCTTGCATGTGAAACATGTGAAAATGTTTCATTTGTTACAAACTCTACACAGTATTTTATTTTCCGTTCCCTTTTTAGTTACATAATTTCTTTTCAAATCATATTAATAATTGCAATAATACCGTGGAAATTAGATACTACAGATATTAAATATTGAATTTATCTCATTAAGTTGTGTCTCATTGTCATTTTCATATAAAAGTTTATCAAACAATTTGCTATCTTCGTTTCTTTTGTTTTGAATAGCCACAGGTAAGTGTCCATTTATTTTTGGACAACCTTTTAAATACTTCATTTGTGGAGGATCAGTGATGTGCGTTTTGGATACATTTGTAAATATAAGATCTGATTAACTGTGATGTTCCTTTCTGAAATGTCAAAATTTGCCTAATTTAAAATAAACAGGATGAGTACTAAGCACTGGCATTTTGAAAATTCAAGAATACTGAGTATTACCTTCCTTCTTTAATTAGATTTTTTATAAGAGAAATCTATTCATATTTGTGAATTGCTTTTCTGTGCATTCATGTTTAAAAGGAGCTCAGTGCTCGTATCAAAGTAAATGTATACCGATAGCCTAGTGGTAGGGCGCTCGCTTCGTGATCGGGAGGTCCGGGTTGGATTCTACCTCCCGCTGCTGCGTCAAACCTAAGCCACATAACATATGTAGTAACTGTTCCTTCGCCAAGTGATCGATAATAGAAGTAAAAGTATTTCGGATGGGACCTTGGAATTTTTTTTTATTTGTTTCCCTCAAAACAGTTAAATATTCTGTTTTATCGATTCATTTTTTTAAGAAACGAGTTTGACTTGAAGCAAGGAATATCTTTTTATTATGAAGGAAAAAAGTCTGGATATTTGCTGAGAAAAATGAGATTGAAAATATTCATATTTCCTGGCAATTTTGAAAATTTAAAATGTTGCATGCACATTACAGACTTGGTAATTTATAATACTTTGAAGTTTTATTAACCTTGTGCGGGGGAAATAATTAGTGCCGAAGCCATTATTTTTTCCCAGTAAAAGCAAATCAGTAGAGCACTTATCTAAATTAATTAATAAATACATATACATATAAACATTTTATTTTTAAAAAAAAATATCACGTTATTTTCCAGCAATGGAAATCGCAGAAAAATTAAACCGCATATGATATATCTTCTCACCATCTTCTCACCATATGTATCACTCCTTCAAAACAATGGACAACATAGGAGACGCCCAGTGAGCATATTTTAAAACAAATTCTACAAATTCTGTAGTGATCCTTTTCGGCCTTCCCTTTCTTGCTATTGAATGAATGAAAAAAAAAAAAGAATGTACAGAATGTTGATAATAATGTGACACACCTTATATCACAGGTTCATACGTTTATCAATAATAACTACCTCTGAATAACCTCTTTCGTGGATGTCAAACAATGAATAAAGCCAAGCTTACCTCCATAAGATTAGTGTTTTATTAAAAATATCCTAGAAATATAAGTAGTGAAACCATAGATAATTGACGTATCTCCTATGCAATTAAAAAAAGCGTCTTTTACTTTTAGCAAACTATGAAGCTTCATATAATTTAATTTTGAATAAATAAGGAGTTCAAAATAAAATGATAATTATTGCCATTAATATTTTTATGTCACCTTGATTTTTTTTTCAAACTTATTATTCAATTTCTGGGAAATATTTATTAGCTGCATGCCGTTTAACACGTACAAACTTTCTAATTGATGCATATAGTGTATTGATTGAAATATTAATTAAAGCCTCATTCATATCTAATCATATCAGCTTATTAGTTTCTGACACCTCTTAAAATCAATTGCCGGTTAATCAACCTGCCCCAACATGCATCTTAAAAGCTGAATATATAGTATTATAATTCTGATGTCTTATTTCATGTACGAACTAACACATTCAAAAGCACGTTTTACATTACTGTGTATCATTACTGTGTATCAAAGGCAGTCGCCCGCGTGGCGCAGTGGTTAGAGCGTCTGCTCTAGAGTCGCGAAGTAAGGAGTTGATCCTTACGTCGCGGGTTCGAATCCCACTGTGGGACGTGGAGACCGGTCCTTCGGATGAGACCGTATAAACCGAGGTCCCGTGTCGCAGTAGGTGCTGGCACGAAAAAGATCCCTCACTGCTCAATGGCCGTAAGTGCCGAGTAAAGGACAAAATTTGCAGCTCTCCACCGGCAAGTGGTAGCGTCTCCTTATGATTGGAAAATTCTCGAGAGGGACGTTAAACAACATACAATCAATCAAAGGTTACTTCCTGTTTACGTTTAAACTGCAAATTATATGTGTATACTCTCCATTTAGAACTTCATAAACAATCTAAAAATACAGATTTTGCACTGAAAAGGAAAACTTTGAAATATTTAAAAAAAAAACGAGATAAGGAAACATAAAATACAAATAAAGAATATATTTCCTCTTAGACAGCATTCATTTACCATATTATGACAAACAAAGCATGTGTAATTAGATTTTTGGATTTCTTGTCCATCAATCATTACATCTTCAAAGGGATTTGGTGTAAAAGTTTCATTTAGTTTACGCAATTTCTCGGACTTTCTGCACCACCAAAGTGTAAAAAGGAAGGCAACTGAGGATGAATTGGCTTAAAGAAACACCATTATTGGTTCTTTGTTGTACATATCTACCTCAAATGCTTACGTTGGATCCAAATTGTAAGGCGTTTTTTCCCTTATAAAATTTTTTTTATCTCTGTTATTTGAATTTTTACATTTTATATTTACCAAGGTGAAAATGTATATTGTTTAAGAAAATATCGAAATGGTATCTTTTCATCTTCAATAAAAATACAAACATATAAGAACTGAGCATCGCTGTATTTAAAATACTTCATTAAACGTCAGTTGTCACTCTTGCTGTAATGGATATAAAAGGTAAAGTCAATTACAAAGACGCAGTAACAGTAAGGTTTTAGGATTTTTAAAATAATAGGGGATTTATTTGCAGAAATTTTAACATCTTTCTGTAACTCAATTTTTCCTTGAAATAATTTTGATCAAAAATTTGCAAACAATTTAATTGTCGCTTTTTAATGTATTTCTCAAATGCAGTATTAATGAAATTATCTTAGTTGATTGATATGGATTTTGTAATATTCTGTGCAATTATACCTGTGACATCTTTATACACTAGTATTACAATCTATTTTTTTCCCCGGAACTACATGTAGTATTTGATAATTAGACAAGTTACAAATACATCTTAACAACAGTTCTAAATTTGCAGGTGATTTAAAATAACAGGAACCTTTCCCCAAATAAGGTCCTTGTCGACATTTTTATTATTTCAAAATCATCTACTTTTTAATAAAAAAAAAAAGAATTAATATATTGAAAACCTTAAGTTTATATATTTGCAGTGTGCAAAGACGGATACTTTGGTCCAGACTGTTTGAGCCCCTGTCGGTATCCAAGTTATGGAGCAGATTGTCAAAAAGGATGCCTTTGCGATAGAAACCTATGTCATTATGTGACCGGATGCCCGACTACAGGTAATGAATTTTGCACATTGCGATTTATCTTGACATAAATTTGTTGTATAAAACTTCTTTTAGTTGGATACAGTAGTATTACCGTTTATTTGTAATTGTTATGGAACAGTTAATTTTTAAATGTTACGCGCATTTTCCTATCTTTCTGTTATGTAACTGTTTATTTGTTCCTGATATGTAACTGTTATTTTGCTACTGTTATGTAATTGTCACAAAGTCACTCTACTGTAATTATTATGTTTAATGTTAAATTTGTTACTGTTATTTCACTTTTGCTTTGTTACCATTCTGGAACTGCTAATTTATGACTGTTATTTAAGTGTTACTTTTTTACTACTATGTAACTGTGACTATGTTACTTAACTTTTACCTCGTTACTCTCATCTATTTTCTACTTGTAACCGTTATGCAACTGCAATGTCCCTCCTTTTCAGACGCTACCGATAAAGCTGGGCAGACACCAACATTGTCGGTGAACGATTCAAGAGTGTTACAGAATGAAACCAAGATGAATATTCTGTATATATCATCAAATGTCACCGGAGAAGGTAAATCAAAAATCTTTTTCAGAGATCAGGATCTTACGAACAATAAATTTAGTTAAGAATTGACTTTTTTCTATCCAAGCAGGTGTACAAATATTGACTAAAAAATAATTTTTCTATTTTTTTTTCTTTTCTGTGCATTTTCACTGTAGTTTTATACTTATCAAATACTACCACATACATTAAGTCTATAAAGCACTTTGCTTAATATCAATTGTACACATATCATGAAATATTTATTTTGATTCGTATAATTTCTTAAAACAGATACAAATACACAAAGCTCATCAATGTGGACTGACATGGATGTGAAACACAAAGCGATGCTCATCTGTACAGTTTTCTTTGGAATTGTTTTCATCTCCATCATTGTTATTTACATCAAGATCACTGTTACGAACCGTGCTCATGTTCAATACTTTCAATGGACAAGAGTAGAGAAAAAATAAACACGTAATTCAAATGAAACCTTCAATTTATAAATTTCTGCTTTCCATTAATTGCTGGATATATGCGTGTAAAATTTTATTTAAGATGATACCCTGTCTATGAATTTTATCATTAAATTCAGCTCTTTCTTGATAAAGGATTCGTATTATGTTCATCATACAAGAATCAGGTCAACCTATTGCAAATATATATACAATTAGAGAAAATTGTTTTCGGATGAAAGGCATTTCCAAAATGTGATTTATCTAGCACAACGCATCTGAAGATGAATGTCACAATCCGTGGAGGATGAATATCTTTTTATCTTCAGCATCAGAAATGAGAATAAAGATGATTTTTTTTCTATAATAATTCTAAATATGTGACCAAAGTAGCTTGAACCAAGGAGGCATGAATATTGAAATATTGTTATAGAAGCGTCTTTTTCTTTTCATCATGCAAACAGTTTGCCTTTTAGACAGCCAAACGCAAAGAACACGATTTTCAGAGATACAAGATATTTTCGATATGACTGACACATCTTGGTCAGAGTTTGGGTTGGGATCTGAACAGGATCTGAACAGAACTATTAATTCCAAAGTATATTCTAATCATCGTGATTATTTATCATTTTTATAGAATTTAATTAGTCTATGAACGAGTTTTTCATCAACCATTAAAAACTCATTGAGGACATTTTAAGTTGTCTCAGATGACTGCTTTAGCCTGACATCGTTATATTTACATCCCTGTACATAGTATCATATTTACAGGCTTTAGACACTGAAACAAATTTGGATTTCGAATATGTTCTTATCTAGGTAATATTATCTTTTTTTAAACGTTCTGTCCTTCGACACACTTTACATTTTCTTATTTGGAATCTGTATAGCACTTCATTTAATGATCAATTATACTATTATATATGTTATATTGATTGTGAAATGCATTATTCATGAACAAAAAGAATAAAAGAAGCACATCTATTTGAACTGGTATGGATGTGAGGCAGAAGGTGATGCTTGTCTGTATCGTCTTTTTGAAGGATTTTTGAAATCATCATCAATATTAACATTAATAGGAAGAAAAACCGGCTTCAAGCTATTGCTTAATGGTGGCTTAAAGGTGGCTTAATGTTGCCTCAAAGAAGTTATTTTCTTTAAGCCAACATTAAGCCACAATTAAGCTGCAGCTTCTAGGAGCTTAATGTCAGAGCTACCAATAAGCCATCTTTACACATCATTTATCAAATCCTTAAACTAACTTGTTAATTTAAGATTATATTTCAGCATCATTTCAACAAAATCTTATTCGTTTTACAATTTTGTCTCGTTAATTCTAACATTTTTTTTTTAATAGTTTTGAGATATTTTTTTTTAATTTTTATTCGTGCTTATAAGAGACAAGATAACATATGCGATAATATATTAGCAAAAGTAATCAAAAATATCTCATTCGTAATACTCAATCGTGAATTATCATATCTGTGGGACAAATAAAAGAACAAGAAGAGAGTAAAAAGGGGCATGCTCTTTTCGTGCATATAAGAGACAAGCTAACATATGCGATAATATATTAGGCAAACTTTTAACAAGCATTTTTTTTTCAAATTTAAAAAGTAAATGAAAATGATTAAAAATAATTCATTTAATGTACCATATTTCCATTGTGAATAGTAGTGATTGAGAAAACATTTGAAAAAATAATGAAGTAGAATTTTGCAAAATAAACCGAAAATATTTTATTCATAATACCCCATCGTGAATGATCATATCAGTTGGACAAATTTAAGGACAAAAAGAAGAGAGTAAAAAGGGGCATGCTCTATTGAATTGATTTATATATGGTATATGGTACTTAACTTTCATTTGAAATGCATTCATTTTTCGTAACGTAATGAGATATGATTCTTTGTAACATTTACCAGTTAAAAATCATTCACTCAGAAACAGAACGTACATTTTTTTCTGTTTTACAATTTTGTTGATATAATCAACCAAAGGAATCCAAGGTGTCTATTTGGTTTCTCTGGAATCATTTTAATTCGTGGGGGTCAAAGTGCGTGGGCAAACAAAATTTTTACAAAGTAAACGTTCGTGGTGATGTAAATTCGCGGGGAAGGGTGACCCATGTACATATAATCCACAAACACTGGTCCTCCACGAACAATGGTGATTCCACAGTATGTATATGTAGTACTAAGCAAAGCAAACAAAGATTTAGAAATCTCAGGGACAAGGCTATAATTGCCGAATTAATATCCAGATAATGTTTATGCATAAACTGCAAGTTGAAATAATAACTGAAAATAGCTAAAATAAAAGTTACACAATTGATTTTTAAAAGATACATTGAGCCTCATACTGATCCGTGATTAATAAGAGAAATCCACATAAATCTCAATGAGAATTTTTTTTAATTTTTTTTTTTTTAAAATTTTTTTTTTTAGATAAAAAGAAATTTCCTAAAATTTTTAAGGTATTCTGAACTTAATGTAATTGGAGTTTCCCTAGCCTTTTCCTGTGCTTTGTTAATTAGATTACAGGTATATTTTTGTCTTGAAAGAAATATCTTCTATTTATATCTCCTCAGCAATTGCCTGATACGACTGTACAAAATCTTTTATTTTAAATAGTTTATTAGCCTACTGAAGGAGGTAATTACGATGTAAAAAAATCCCTAGATAAAATTAATTTAATAACAAACTTTGGAAGAAACACTTCAGTATCCCCAAGTAACTCCCAGGATCATCTCAGTAGTCTTGGAACACACCGAGAGCCACACAGTATCAGATCAGTATCCTTACTCGGAACGTCTCAATACCAAAAATATAAACCCTTGTACTATTCAGTATCAATTAAGATATTCAGTCAATTCAGTACAAACCTGAAAATGAAGAGCTAATCAGTGATCATTCTTGTCCCCAGAAACCAACTCAGTGAACCAGTGTAACTCAGTGCCACCTTTTTTTCCGATTCGCCGTTCTTGTTCGATGAAGTAGTATAATTTCAAAATATTCATACATTTATTTGAAATTAATGCGGTTTTGATGGATCAGTTACGCAAATCTCGTTTCTTCTTTAACTACTGTCTACATATTTTGAGATTTTTTTATGACAAAAATACTTCATATTTTATTCATTCATAAATGGGTGTCCTAAAATCGACTTAATATGGGAAAAATGATTGTAAATGTTGTTAACGTTAACAAATATTTTGAAATGAAATGGAGGTAAAATATTTAGAAAAAAGAGGGACAAAAAGAAAAAAAAGACTATGAACGAAATACAAGGTTTGACTTTCATTTCCATTGATAGGGAAACATAAATACCCACACAAGGAAGTATTTTCTGTAATCCTTGTCCTCAAAAGCAAATTTATATGTAACAGACACTGCAAGGTGCAAATGCTTTACTTTCCTTTTTCATAAAATACCAATGTAATTTCCAGTTGAATTTCTTTCCTAAAGTATAAATAATGCACATCTGACAAAATCCAATAGTTCTATGTATTGATTAATGTTAAGTCTGTTGAGAGTTAGACTAAAATTTGTACAAGAATGAGGATTTACATAATTATATTGTTCAGTTGGTGCTTCCCTTACTCTTATGTGTGTAACCTGTTCTATCTTTATTTCCTGGATACCTGCAGAGGATTCGATTCCAAATTTGACTTGAACGATATGTATCATTATAAAAAATGCATTACATCTTATCTATTAATAACATAACGATATAATTTCCAACCATATTTATTATTTTTTTTTACCTATTTCTATTTATTACTAAAGCATAACTTCTCAAGACTCATGCTGTGATGAATATAAGTGGGATAAAAACTCGAAAAGGGGTAATTGAAAGTCTACATTTCAAAGCTTCATAGTTTCGACATTACTATGCACATGGAATTTATCCAGTAAGGAATTCATTGCCAACTTTGTAAAATTGTTCACTAAACATGAAGAATGCCAACATGAAAATACTCTCCTAAGACGTTGCATTGCTTATTTAATACAATATATAATTGCTCAACAGAAATATAAGATAAGAATGCATTGCTGAGTGATCATTTTTATTTTTAGGAGCTATCCTTTTGGTTACTCTGGTGTACATAATGAGCGTGCCTGTCTGTATCCGAACTATATATGGAGAAGAATGCCGAATGGAGTGCAAATGTGACGAAGAACATGTAATCATACAACAAGATGTAGGAATCCAGGTAGCGTAGGCTTTATTTTAAAAGTTTCTTTATAAAGGTTGATGGTTTTCTTTCGCTAGAAAAAAAAATGAGTTTACTATAGTAGTACGAAGCTCGTCTACAATATAACAAGGTATTTATCAATGTATTTTCAATGAATGTTAAATGCCAACTTCCTTCTTGACTTGGATAATAAATTTAGATCTAGTAGTTCATACGAAAAAAAAGTTAACATGGTATGCACGGCTTGAGTACGCTATGTTCTGTTTTCTCTTTCTCCTCATTTTTACAGATGAAGTACATGCAACATCTGACGATTCAATTGTACTGTGAGAAGAAACCAAGATGAAAATTTGGTATATTTCATCAAATACCACCAATTTTTCACGGAAAGAAAAGATAAATATTAAATCCCTTTTTCAAGAATACTAATTTACATGTACTTCATCTTGTCTTGCTTTTTTTTAAAGAAAATAAATTATTTATAAGATATTAAATATATTATAATACAAAATACAGCATTTTTGATATAAATCAAAATACAATGCCAGCAAATTCCTTCTTTTCTCATGATTAAACATCATTGTTGCATCTTTTTAAATATTATTTTGAAAAATGCACTCTACCATAAAGCCAAGTTATGTGATGGAATTATAGGATGGATATTTGTTGTCTAAACAAGTCATGTGTATATTCCTATCAAGTATTATTTGATTTAACCTTCTTACAATATTCACTGATTCCTATGCAACAAACATCAGATTTTAATGTCCTTACGTTGAATTATATATTTGCAAAAATTTCTTCAATGTGGACAGACATTGATATGAAGCAAAAATCAATGTTTATCAGTGTCAGCATTTTTCCTCATTATAATTTTTATTTACATAAATAAGTCTGCTAAAAAGCGAGCAAGTGTGCACTACTATCGTTGTAAGAAAACACGGTGTAAAGAGATAGAGGAGTCAAATGAAACGGCAGATTTGTGAAGGAATATACAATCATTATGTTTGTAAATATTTATTTTATTAACAATTAAGTATTCAACTATAAATTAAAAACTTGAATACATGCATATAATTATGAATTTGATTCACTGGATGTTCTTCCGTTGGGAGCATGATGGAAGTTGTCTTTTTAATTAACCTTTAGTTATCTCTTTTTTTTTTTTTTGTTAAAAATCCTCTAAAATATAAACAAACGACATGGAACCTTCACAAGTGCGATGACAATTTATACATAAGAGGTACGAGGGTCTCACAATAAGTCATGCAACATAGATTTATCAGAATAAACGCAGAAGCACAAAAGTTTATTTTTTTAACTACAGTAACTATTTATGAACTCATAATCACCGAAAACCGAGTGTTTTTTCCCAACAGTCTTTACAAAGAAATAAACTTCAAAGTGATCATGGTTACTATTCTGAGCTGAAAACTCTTTAAAAATAGTCTTTGCTAAGATGAAAATGAGGGGTATATATGTAAAAACGGTGCTTCATTACAAAAATTTCTGAAGAATCAATATGAAAGATGTTGTTTTGGAATCTGGAAAGACAACTTTCATTCTAATCATGTTTAAATGGATTAAAAAATGCAAGAAAAGGAGTGTTACAAGATCGCAGTTGAACTGAATGATCAAAATCTGCAGAGACATAAGAAAAGTAGAGGGTGTCCAACATGATATCTGTAATACCAGATTTACCATTTCCTAACAGATGCCTAAGAGAAAACATGCGCTAAATGTGCCAAAGGTGTATTAAAATCATTATTACAAAATAAGGTATGATAACCAAGAGTCACGGGTGTCAAGACATTTGTGCACTTTTTTTACAGCCCAAAAGGTAGAACAATAATGAAATGTGGAATCATAGAGTAAAATGTCATATTTTTACAAAGAAAAGCCAGAGCTTCAAATATATATCTTACACAGGTAAGAGGTCCGATAATTCACGAACCTACACCCAAATGAAGGATTATTAATGGTAGTTTTTATAATAGCATTGAGGAAAGTTCAGCAGATTTTCTGTGAAGGAATTCCAAATACCGATCCCGAAGTTAATTTGTTTTTGTCCGACAACACTGCCGCAAATAAGCATAGAGATGTACGTGAAAGAAGTACAGAAAGAATTTTGAAGAAAAGAATGTTTACAGAGCTTACCAGTCCTCCGTATTCGCTAGATATCAGGTCAATAAAGCATAAGGTAATTACGAAGATTGTCTCTAAAGTTTATTGAAAAATGATATAATTTCGTTATAATAAGCACACGGACAAAAAATATGACCATATTTTAATATAGATAATGATTTGGTAGATGTATGAAAAAACAATGTACACTATTTTACGAATGCAAAATGTATAGATAAGCTAATTTTCAGAATTATATAGATTTGAATTTATAACAAATGTTTAATTTTTTTTCTTATGCCACACAACGAGGTGTGTGCGATAAAATTTATATATAGACCGCAATTCAGTGGTTGGAAGCTCTTCCATTGGGAATACCAACTTCGCTTTTTCTGTTAATTTTGGAAACATAATTTACAAGCATAGTCAGTAGAAAACTTTGTATACAAAGGCTGCAGGGGTAAGTCCAAAGTTGCTAGTCCTACATTTGTAATTAATACATCGCCATGAATGGGGATATCTTATATTCATCAATAACAGTTCTCTCTTCTTATGAACAGAATTCCAAAGGGTTAATAAGCCTTGCTTCCAGGTCCGCTAAAATAGCCATGTCCCTTTTGAAAATTTATAGACCGTAAATGAGTAAATTTAAAACTTCAAAACAATACAAACGTAGTCAGAAAATGCTTTCATATGAAGATAATTTGCTTAATTTGCAGAGCTAAATAAGTTCTTCAGGAATCTACTTAAATGTGTATAAATCGTGCATGATGTTTTTGCAGTAAGTAACCAGGAAATGTTTCGTATCGACTTTTTTTCAAACTTTTGAAAATGTACATACACATGCATATGTACATATTTTTCTCTTCAGTTTGAGTTTTGATTCATTTCAATGCAATTAAGCATCTCGAACAATATCTATAATGACCTTTCTTATAAATTCAAATATCAAAATTTATACCTCAATTTGACTGAAAACATATCATGATAGAATACACTGTAATAATTTCCGATTTGTAAATTTCCCTGTTCCGGTCCTATGTGTTTCAATCGAAACAATTATATTTACAAGATCGAATTGAAATTTATCAATTAAAAACATAATATCTAATCATGAGGAATACAACAATAGAACGGGAATTTTGAATTTACATTTTCTCCATGTTATGGTTGCTTTTATGGACGTTGCAGCTGTCCTTGGTTCAAAATGTGAAAGGTACATGAAGATTTACTGTCTTGTTTACATATTTATTATCGATTATCTGATAAAACGCCTTACATATTTTTTTTTTACGATTTCGTAGTCGCTTTTTTACCTTCCTTTTATTTCTTTCATGTATAGCCACTTATCTAATTGGCACACCCAATGATATTTTAAATATTATACATGTATGTACCGATTGAGATATATTCAATATCGATAACTTAAAAATTTCACCTTGATATATGGAAAACTACACCAAAAGTTCCTTTATTATAAAGACAGTCACTATATTATTTTTAGTCCCGTGAAATGTCGTGTTTGCTCTATATGGGATAGCCTTACCAACAATATCGATGATACACTAGTAATACTTAATCTCGCAACGTTTTACAAAGTGTAATTTGTCATTTATCAGTTTAGGCTGTTCCTGATTTTATTAGATTGTCCGGATGGCTATTTTGGTGTTAACTGTGAGAGGGAATGTAGACATCCTAATTATGGGGCAGGCTGCCAGGAATTTTGTGGCTGCATGGAGGAAATGTGTAACCATATGTCCGGATGTCAGGGTAACAAATTTTTGTAATTTTTAAAAAAAATATATAGATTATCAGCTGCATATCAGATGACCACAAAATATAATTAAACATCTTGAAAATTTAATTACCAGTTTCTTACATGTATATCGTTCAGTGATTTATTGATTTGTTGGTTTTTCAAAAGAATACATTTTTCTGTGTCCAAATCTTCCAAGCATTGTACAGCCTCTTTAAATAATTTAATAATTGTGAATATAATTTGAATTTTTATTCTGTATTTGTATTATATTTCAAAGTATATTCACATTTTTAATAAATGTAGCAAATATTCTACATTTCACCAAATTCATTTTCCCAGAAACGGCCGTGGAAACGACTATCATGCAGAGCACCCTGTCTCTGTTCAATAACACAGATATGCCAAAAAATGAAAGCAAAATAGTTTATATTTTCTCTGATTTGGTGGATATATTTCAAAAAGGTGGGTTATAAATTTTGTTAGAATATCAATTGAGAAATTTTGCTTTTGATACATGTGTTATATTTAAATAGTTAGCCTTAATATTCTCTATAGAAGAAAAGTTTGAAATGAGAATTTACGACGCGATACATATAACATCAAGTTGTCAATGAAACAAATTTTATCTAACACTAAACACAAATTTGGTGATCCGGTGTTACAATTTATAGTTTCTATATCAAATTAAGTACAGAATATAGAAAAAGGCAATTATTTTTTCTGTCTATCTTTAAAATATTCAGTTTATAAATATGTTGTCTGAGAAAACCTTATTGAGTGGACGTGTAGATGTAGTTTTTCTTATCTCCATCAAAAGTAGTTTTTCATTCATCATGTGTTAAAAACAAGTGTTTGCTTAAAGATAAGTGCAAATTCAATACTTGAGATCAACGCATAATTTGTAGATTTAGTATGTTATAATTACAATTTCCTATTCCTTAACCATTTTGTTTCCTTCTCTAGACACCAAAAATAAGCCTTCCATGTGGACTTTATTAGATAGAAGACATAAATCGATGCTTATCGGCATAATAGTCTGTTCATCGTTATTATTGATTATCCTGACGGGGATTGTAAGAAAGCAAATTCCTAAATATTTAGATCTGTACTTAATTAAACCTGACGAATTCCGAAGAGCAGCCAGAATCGATTCAACAGACACCTCTTATGTGTAAATACATGCTCATCTAAAAAAAATTGAATTTCTGTTCGAAGCTCTTTTAATGGTCTTGTGTTTATAAATGTTCAATATTTTTATCTATGTTTAAAATAAGTGCTTTCAAATTATAAATATATCCGTTTACCCAAATAAACTTAATCAGTATACATTTTACATTAACCTTCTATTCTCGAGAAAAACAAAACGGAATCTTGACTTTAATCAATCATTTGTTCTTTTTGGATTTTTGTTTTTTAATTCCATATTGCCTTTATAATTTGATTTTGTTATGCGAGTTTGAAATACTGAATACTAAAACTGATTGTATATAATTGTACATATATGATTTTCAAAGTGAAATTATTAAGTCACATTGGAATCACTATGCAATCAAATGTGAACAACACTGATTTTTACAGTATATTCTGAAAAGATATTTAATATGTAAATTGATCTACTTTGTTTTGTGCTTAAATTGTGCATATTTCTACTTACACTTAAAATCAGTAGCCTTAAATAAGTAACCGCCCACGGTTTAACCGGGGTGGTCATTTTTGAACATATGTTGTGTGTGTTGATGAATTTTGTTGAATTTGTTTCGGTTTACCCAAAAGTTGTGTGTATTGGCATCCGACAAAATACTATGCCACGGTCATTATTCGCCTAATAAAAGTTAAAGCAAACTTCTTGTTGTCATTTCCCTTTATAAATAAATATACTTGTACGTATATACATGCTTGTTACAATTATTATTGCGTCAAAAACTCTAAAAGCAATTTTCTATTAATAATTCTATTTTACATTACCAATTATGAGCATAGGATTAATGCAAATGGAACTGTTACCAGATGTTAGAATACATCCACAACATAATGCTTCCTGATTACTTTATGATTATTGAACTAAGACTAAATAAAATTGCTAAAAATTATGCATATTATAGAAAAAATAAAATTTAATGTTTCGAATGTTTTTTTGTAGTTGTTTTTGATTTCTCCTCCCCTCTTTATTTGTCTTGTTATTTGTTTTTCTTAGAAAATATTTGGTGTAATTCCTCGGATTCTATATCTGAATTAGAGTGATGTCCCATTACTAAAAAGACATAACCATTGTATTGGTTTAAATAAAGTACAAGTACTTATTAAATGCACTTTTCAATTCGAAGATTCTAAATGTTAAAGCTATCTTTCTCCTTTATCCGATTAAAAAAGAGGAACTCATTCAATTTTTGTATTTGGTTTTTCCTATGCACTCATACATAAAAGGAATTTAATACTTCAAAAATAAACAGTCCATTACTGATAAATTTGGATTCGTGACATTGCAATGGAGTGAATGAAGAGCTTAATCACAAATGGCCACAATAGTCGTGTATCAGTATTATAGATTATCTACATAGTATAGCATAAATTATTTGTAACAATTGAAACACGAAAATGAAACATCATATTAAGTATTTTCGTTCATGCGTATTCATCCTTAAATATAAAAGACTTTACACAAGAGGCTCTAAATACGTATTCTACTAGTTTTGCTATTATTCTACCTCTTTCGTTACAATTTGTAGTTGAACGAAGAGATGATCAATGTTTAGAATATCGGTTATATCGTAACACACATTATGTCACTCATGGGGGAAGTATGTCTATCGACAATATGAACCTCACCTAGTTTGTTGAAATCATCTGTTCAACAAAGCAAAATATATTTCTGTAGAGTTATACTTTCAAACGACATGCGGGAAAATATGATAGTAACGCCATCAAAAAGTGATATTTTGAACAAAATGCTGCAGAAACGCTTCCTTTCTTTTTAGATACTATAAATCATTAATATAATTTAATTAATTAAATCATTTCATTTGGAGAAATTTTGAGTTCAAGATAAAATATTAAGTAATACTATCAATAATGTTACTCTTTGTTGATCTTAATCTGATTAGTTATATACAATTCAATGAAAAATGTATTGATGAAATGTGGAGATAACGAACAGTTATCAAGCTCAAAAGACAGCATTCAGATAAAAACTGCTTTACATCTTTACTGATGCATTTAGTATTCAGACATCAAAGACGTAACGCATGCAAAGTATTGAATGAAATATCACTAGAGCCTCAATCGTTTAATTAGTTCCCGATACTTTTGAAAAACTAAATTATTGATGGTTAATTGAGCTATCCCTAATTATATTTACATGTACATTTTATCATAGTCAAAAGGAAATTGTTGTACTTTAATGTTATTTCCTGTAAACATTTAAACTGCATATGCTGTTTGTATACCCTTGAATGAAAACACCAAATCTAAAATATATAAATCTTGCGCTTAAAAAGGGCTTTTGAAAAAGCGGAGATTTTTTATGACTTGAAAAATTAGAAACAGATGCTTCGTCTGATATTTTAGCTTTCTTATCCGTAAAATGTGAAGACAGAAAATTAACAGTAATCATGCTCTAAAGTGAACATAAACAGTACAAACACGGACCTCTGAGAATAGCGGAAAAGGAATCAGATGCCATGGAGTAATAAGCACCCCGTGTCTTTCGGTCACATGATTCGTCCTGATCGCTTTGTCATGATCAAATTGATCAATCCAAAAATTAGCATAGTTTGATTTTGAGACGAGAAATAGAAATTCATGTAATTATTTTATTATAAATTATTGTCATTTTAATTTGTAATTTTTTTTTCGTTTACCACTTTCCCTTCTGCCAGAGAAAAGAGCGGATGAAAATATTCATTAAATAACAGTATTTTACTGAAATCAAAATTATTGCTTAAACCTTGCTAATACTTCTAAGAGTATATGTATCAGTAAATCCTTCTGGTATTGGCAAGACAAGTTTTGGATAAAACACTGTACTATAATTGTTGAACTTTGATATTTCACAGTTCATTTCCGTGCATTAAGCCATCATGTGACACGAATAGTTGAATAATAAATTGAAAACATATTTATAAAATATATCTTTTAGAACAAGACCTTTTTTTAATTCAAACTTGCAATATAACCGTTTAGACATTTGTAGAAGAAAAAACCTATCATTAGCAGGTAACGTATCCACAAAACGGTACATTTTAAGCCATCTGTGAAAATTGTTACATTGATGTTAAATGATTCGAAAGTATTGTTGTCTTATTTGAATATCCAAACTGAATAAATAAGGAAACATTAAAAAACTAATATAGAATATATTTCCTCTTAGAAAAAATACGACATATGACAAACGAGACATGAGTAAATAGAATTTTTTTAATTCCTCAAACACTTCGATCACAACATCTTTAAAGGGACGAAGTGTAAAGGTTTCATTTAGTTTCAGCTATTTATTGATTATCCTGCACAACCAAAGAAGAAGACAACTGAGGATGAATTGGCATAAAGAAACACCATTACTGTTTCTTTTTACATATCTACCCCGGATGCTTACATCGGAATCGCATTGTAAGACAAATTTCCTTTTGAAACTTTTTTTTATTTATCTCTGCCAATTGAGTTCTTGTATTTCACATTAACTAAGATGAAAACATATTGTATATATAAACATTAAAAAAGTACATCTCGATCTTCGCTTGAAAATATATAGTACGTTTCAGAATAAGACACTTATTGTTTGTCTGAAGATTCGTTTTTTGTTTGTATGTCGTTTAACGTCCCTCTCGAGAATTTTTCACTCATATGGAGACTCCACCACTTGCCGGTGGAGAGCTGTAAATTTTGTCCTATACTCGGCACTTACGGCCATTGAGCAGTGAGGGATCTTTTTCGTGCCAGCACCTACTGCGACACGGGACCACGGTTTATACGGTCTCATCCGAAGGACCGGTCTCCACGTCCCACAGTGGGATTCGAACCCGCGACGTAAGGATCAACTCCTTATTTCGCGACTCTAGAGCAGACGCTCTAACCACTGCGCCACTCGGGCGACTCTGAAGATAAGTAAAATGTCAGTTGTCCCATGTCCTGTCTTGATTATAATTCGGATAGTCAATTACAATAAAGCAACAGCAATAAGTTTAAAAGATATTTCATTTAAAATAGGAGACATGCTTACAGAAATGTTAGAGCCTCATTTTGATTTGTTGTTACGTTGACATATTTTTTGAGAAGATATTTGATATGTAAATAATATAATCATCTTCTTTTGATATTTTTTTGAAATATTCAGTAACAATGAAAGTATTTCAGTGGATCGTACCCTGTACACTGTATATACTTGAGATCTTGATGTAATACAATTTTAGATAGTTATTTTGGTATTGGTCTAGCTTTTGTAAATGAACGTTGAAGTAACGAATTTATCTTGACAACAGTTCAAAGTGTGCAGCTATTGTGTAAAAGCAGGAATAATTTTCTCGAATAAATTCCTCATCCATAATTCCCTTATCTCAATATGATCTACTTATGAATATAAATAGGTAGAACTGATATATTGATAGCATCAATTTTATTTATTCACAGTATGCGCAGTCGGGTATTTTGGCCCAAACTGCACTCTCCCTTGCCGGTTTCCGAATTACGGAGCAGGCTGCCAGTATAAATGCATCTGTATTGAGGGAATATGCGATCCTGTGACTGGATGCTTGACTACATGTAATGTATTAAGTACGATGCAATTAATTTGAGCATGAGTTTATTTATAAAGCTGTTAAATCCCATTTCTTTGATGAATTGATTAAAATGCAAATAATTTTGATAACAAAAATAATATTAAAATGTAATTAATAAATATTTTTCCTAAGAAATAACAATGCATGTGTTGGATGATAAAGACCGCAGCTTTAATCATTGTTTGAATTACAAATATAAGAGAAGCATTTAACAATCATTAGGTTCCACACACCTAAGTGGTAACGGGCGTTATGGTGCCTCACCTTCTAGAGTAATCTATAGCAAGGCATAACGATATGTACTATTAGACTCCTAGGGTTCCTCTTAAAGAGAAGGCGGGAATATCAATGTAATTGCCTCCCAGGGGATTTCTAAGCGAGGCTAGTGTCTGTTTGTAGAACAGGTATGACCACTACACCGAGTAAGGCAAAATAAA